TCACTTTCTGTAGCTTGAGGTAAATGTAGTCAACCCTGGTCAAAATATTTTGAAATGAACATTTGAGAAAAAAACATTTTATCAGCTCATTGTTCTGAGTCAGTAGCAGGATGAAATTTCACATGAGTCCACTCTGTCTTGCCTGGGCCCTGAGTCATCTATTTGACCAGCAGATCTACACTCTAGAGGTGACCCACCTATCAATCACATAGAAGCCCTCTGGGGAGTAGACCAGTTGTAATAATATTGCAGTGCTTGCATTTAAGCACCTCCTATTTTACTTAATAATCACCCAAAGGCAAAAAGTAGTGATGCTAGTGTGTTGTTGTACTTACTTTTAGTTGTTTTCAATCCCTTCTTGTACCTAATTTGTGTGTGTGTGTATATATATATATATTTTTTTTTTTTTTTTTGAGACAGAATCTCACTTTTTCGTGGTAGAGTGCTATGGCATCATAACTCACAGCAACCTCAAACTCTTAGGTGACTTGCCTCAGCCTCCCCAGTAGCTGGGTCTACAGGTGCCTGCCACAATTCCCAGCTATTTTTAGAAACTAGGTCTAACTCTGGCTCAGGCTGGTCTTGAACCCATAAGCTCAGGCCATCCACAGGTCTGGGACTTCCAACTGTGGGGATTACTGGCCTGAGCCACCATGCCCAGCAGTACCTAATTTATAAATAAAACATTATAACAGGTGTGTATGTGTATAGAATAAAGATAGTATATGTTAGAATTCAGTAAAATAGGTGGCTTCAGGAATCTACTGGTGATCTTGAAGTGTATCCCCTATAGATATGGGAAACTACTGTTTTCAGTTTTCATAATTGCAACTCTTACTAATATTGCATTGAAATGTCATTAATTATACTCATAAAATTATTTTCTTAAATTACATGGAAAATGCTCTCATTTCATGGATTGTCCCATAAAGTATGACAGAAATATGTATATTTCTCCATTGCAGAATAGTCGAAATAAAACCTGGTAAATGTGCTGTACTAACCTCAGTTAGACTTCGATCAGATGAATGTGGATCTCCAAAAACGTATATCTGTAAGCACAAGCTTTAGAAAGCACCGAGTTTGGATTTGGTTCTGCAATTTTATATTTTGTGAAATGGAAATAATATTTTTATTGAATAAGTCAACATAAATGAAAAGATTAAAAAATCTTTGCAGTATAATACACACACCATCAAGAACAGGATGTCATTTCTTTTGTGTCTGGCTCTTCTTGCTGAGCATTGTGTTTGTGGCATGTTACCTTGTTAAAGTTGCATGTTATGTGCATCTGTTTATATAAAATATCAAGAATTGCCAAATTCATAGAGAAAGTGGACTAGTGGTTGCTGAAAGCTAAAGGGAGATTGGAATAAGATGTGACCATAAATTACATTTTTTCATTTTGGGGTGATGAAAATTTTGCAAACTTCAGAGGTGATTTTAGTTGTGAATCTACAAATATCCTAAAAGCTTACTTATCTGTGTGCCTATATTGATCAAGTGTATACAATGTACATGACATCTCAATAAAAAATATTTGAAAATAACTCTCCTGGGATTATGTTTGGGGCTGTCATATTTAAATATTCTGCCTTTTTATAAAGTTACTTTTCCAAGCAATATCATGTTATTTTTGGAAATCTATCAGG